TTTCCATTGGGATGCTTGGCAGTGCCACTGGAATCCTTGGAAGTGCCCTTGGGATCCTTGGGAGTGCCCTTGGGATCCTGGGTGGTTCCGACGCGCGGGGGTTTCCCTGGGAATCTCGGGAATGCCCTCGGGATTCCCGGTGCTGGTGGCAGCTCCCGCATTCCCATCCCGTTGCTTCCCAGTCCGGCAGTTCCTGGAGAGCGGGATCAGCCCCGACCTGTGCAACGAGGACGGGCTGACGGCCCTGCACCAGGTAACGGGATCAGCCCCGGGAATTCTGACCCCGTGATCCCAGATCCCAGTGTCCCAGCTCTGGGTCCTTCCCATCCCATTAACCACTGATCCCAGATCCCAGTGTTCCCAGATCCAGGTCCTTCCCATCCCATTAACCAGTGATCCCAGATCCCAGTGTCCCAGATCCCAGTCCTTCCCATCCCATTAACCAGTGATCCCAAATCCCAGTGTCCCAGATCCCAGTCCTTCCCATCCCATTAACCAGTGATCCCAAATCCCAGTGTCCCAGATCCAGATCCTTCCCATCCTGTTAACCACTGATCCCAGATCCCAGTGTCCCAGACCAGATGTTTTCCATCCCGGCTCCATCAGGTGTTCCCAGATCCAGGTGTTCCCACATCCGAGTCATTCCCATCCTCTTAACCAGTGATCCCAGTGTTCCAGATCCAAGCTCAGGGTGCCAGATCCCAGAGCCAAATCCTTTCCATCCCAGTTCTGTTTGGTGATCTCAGGCCCTGGTGTCCCAGATCCACGTCCTTCCCATCCCATTAACCAGTGGTGCCACATCCCAGTGTCCCAAATCCTTCCCATCCCATCTCTATCGGGTGATCCTGAATCCCAGTGTCCCAGATCCAGGTCCTTCCCATCCAATCTCCATCCAGTGATCCCAAATCCCAGTGTCCCAGCTGTGGGTCCTTCCCATCCCATTAACTGGAGTCCCAGTGTCCCAGATCCAAGTTCTTCCCATCCCATTAACCAGTGGTGCCACATCCCAGTGTCCCAGTTCCAGGTCCTTCCCATCGCATCTCCATCCAGTGATCCCCAATCCCAGTGTCCCAGTTCCAGGTCCTTCCCATCCCATTAACTGGAGTCCCAGTGTCCCAGATCCAGGTCCTTCCCACCCCATCTCCATCAGGTGATCCCAAATCCCAGTGTCCCAGATCCAGGTCCTTCCCATCCCATTAATTTGCAGTGCTGGATCCTGGTGTCCCAAATCCAGATCCTTCCCATCCCATCTCCATCCAGTGATCCCAAATCCCAGTGATCCCAGATCCAGATCCTTCCCATCCCATTAACTGGAGTCCCAGTGTCCCAGATCCAGCTCCTTCCCATCCCATCTCCATCCAGTGATCCCAAATCCCAGTGTCCCATCTCCCCATCCTTCCCATCCCATTAACCAGCACCCCCCATCCCATCCCATCCCACCCACACGCCCCACCCCCCCCCCCCCCCCCCCCCCCTCCCGCCTCCATCCCGGGCTATCCCACGGCATTCCCGGCCCATCCCGGCCAATCCCTTGCCCCGTTCCCAGTGCTGCATCGACGACTCCGGCCCCGTGGTGTCCGTGCTCCTGGACGCCGGCGCCGACGTGAATTCCCGGGACACGGAGCTGTGGACTCCCCTCCACGCCGCCGCCACCTGCGGCCACCTCCGCCTGGTCCAGCTGCTCATCCAACGGTACCGCGGGAATACCGGGATGGGAACGGGCTCCAGGGGGACCTCCCCCCCCCCCGGGGCGTTCCTGACCCCCAGAATTGTCCCGGCACAGCGGCGCCGACCTGCTGGCCGTGAATTCCGACGGGAACATGCCCTACGACCTGTGCGAGGACGAGGCCACGCTGGATTTCCTGGAGAGCGCCATGGCCGAGCAGGGTGAGCGGAAAACCGGGAATGACGGGAATAACGGCACGGAGGGGTCACCAAGGTCGCTTCCTCACTCGTCCCCTTCCCATCAGGGATCACCCAGGAGCGCATCGAGGAGGCTCGAGCCGCCACGGAGCGCTCCATGATCCGGGAGATCCGGGAGCTGGCGCGGGCCGGCGCCGACCTGGACGCGCCGCGGGGACACGGAGCCACCTTGGTGAGTGACACCCCTGCCAAGAGCCACCCACCCCCTGAGCTGTCCCCCAACTCGTGTCTGTGTGTCCCCCCAATTCCCACCAGCTCCACGTGGCAGCAGCCAACGGGTACCTGGAAGCGGCCGAGCTGCTCCTGGAGCACCGCGCCGGCACCGACTGCCGGGACGAGGACGGGTGGCAGCCCCTCCACGCCGCGGCCTGCTGGGGGCAGGTGAGGCCAACTTTTGTGCCCCCCGAAAAAGGGGCAGGGGCGGAGAAACTGCTCAAAAAGTTTTCAAGTCTAATAAGCAGGAGGCATCTTAATTAATTCCGGCGCCGGGACGGGTCATCCCGGACGAAACCGCTTCGTCCCAGCAACTCCCAGCTGGACTTTGATGCCATTTTTGCCAAGCGATTGCATGACACAACGTGATTATTCATAACATTGCGATGTGCATTTTTAATATTCATAACAGTCAGAGTTGGGGGCGTGGCCTTCAATTTGGGGGGAATTTGAGGGGTTGTTCCTGTTCTTCGGCCTCATGAACTCTTGTTCTTCCTTTCTTCCATCATCATCACCATCAACTTCTGAGGGGTCGTTCCTGTTCTTTGGCCTCACGAACTCTTGTCCTGTCTTCCATCATCCTCCTCATCATCATCAATTTCTGAGGGGTCGTTCCTTTTCTTCGGCCTCATGAACTCTTGTCCTTTCTTCTGTCATCATCATCATCAACTTCTGAGGGGTCGCTCCTTTTCTTCGGCCTCATGAACTCTTGTTCTTCCTTTCTCCCATCCTTATCATCATCAGCTTCTGAGGGGTCGTTCCTGTCCTTCAACCTCATGAACTCTTGTCCTTTCTTCCATCATCATCAACTTCTGAGGGCTTGTTCCTGTCCTTCAACCTCATGAACTCTTGTTCTTCCTTTCTTCCATCCTCATCATCAACTTCTGAGGGGTTGTTCCTGTTCTTCAGCCTCGTGAACTCTTGTCCTTTCTTCCATCATCATCATCATCATCATCAACTTCTGAGAGGTCATTCCTGTTCTTCAGCCTCGTGAACTCTTGTCCTTTCTTCCATCATCATCATCATCAACTTCAGAGGGGTCATTCCTGTTCTTCGGCCTCATGAACTCTTGTCCTTTCTTCCGTCATCATCATCATCAACCTCTGAGAGGTCGCTCCTTTTCTTCGGCCTCGTGAACTCTTGTCCTTTCTTCCATCCTCCTCCTCCTCCTCCTCATCATCATCAACTTCTGAGGGGTTGTTCCTGTTCTTCAGCCTCATGAACTCTTGTCCTTTCTTCCATCATCATCAACTTCTGAGAGGTCATTCCTGTCCTTCGGCCTCGTGAACTCTTGTCCTTTCTTCCATCCTCATCATCATCATCATCAACTTCTGAGAGGTTGTTCCTGTTCTTTGGCCTCATGAACTCTTGTTCTTCCTTTCTTCCATCATCATCATCAACTTCTGAGGGGTCGTTCCTGTTCTTTGGCCTCGTGAACTCTTGTCCTTTCTTCCATCATCATCATCAACTTCTGAGGGGTTGTTCCTCTTCTTCGACCTCGTGAACTCTTGTCCTTTCTTCCATCCTCATCATCATCATCATCATCATCAACTTCTGAGAGGTCATTACTGTTCTTCGGCCTCATGAACTCTTGTCCTTTCTTCCATCATCATCATCATCAACTTCTGAGAGGTCGTTCCTGTTCTTTGGCCTCATGAACTCTTGTTCTTCCTTTCTTCCATCATCATCATCAACTTCTGAGGGGTCGTTCCTGTTCTTCAGCCTCATGAACTCTTTTCCTTTCTTCCATCATCATCATCAACTTCTGAGGGGTTGTTCCTGTTCTTCGGCCTCGTGAACTCTTGTCCTTTCTTCCATCATCATCATCATCATCAACTTCTGAGGGGTCATTACTGTCCTTCGACCTCGTGAACTCTTGTCCTTTCTTCCATCCTCATCATCATCATCATCATCATCAACTTCTGAGAGGTCATTACTGTTCTTCGGCCTCATGAACTCTTGTCCTTTCTTCCATCATCATCATCATCATCATCAACCTCTGAGGGGTCGTTACTGTCCTTCGACCTCGTGAACTCTTGTCCTTTCTTCCATCATCATCATCAACTCTGTGAACTTCTCTAACCTCGGCTCATCCTCTTTCCCTCATCTCCTTTTGTTTTTCCTCCGTATGTCTGATATTTGGGGTGTTTGCGTTTTCTGTTCTCTCTGTTTCCCTGTGTACTTCTGCTTCTGTTCTTCCGTGTCAGCATGTTCTGCATATTGATAAATTGATAATCTCGATAAATTATTGCCTCCGCTGTTTCTAAGACCAGGTTCTCTGTGCTCTTGTTCAGGGCTTGCTTTCTAAATTGACTCTCTAATCCCAGTGTCCCAGATCCAGGTCCTTCCCATCCCATTAACCAGTG